AATCAGACTATCACCCACCTACCCACGTCGGACAGAAGACTCTGCACATTCCACACACCAGACAGCCTGTGCCTACACACACCCCATTACACGCCAGCAAAGCCCCCGCCAATGACACACACATACATTTAGAGATGGTCCGCAAACACCCACACCCACACACACACGCACCCCCACACACACACCCACCCACACCCACACCCACACACACACACACATACACAAAAAAAGCCCTGCCACAGTCAGAAAACACGCACTCCAGACACGCCATTGCCACTAGAGGCAAAAACACGGCGGACCACTGACAGCCCTGCTGACGACTGGCGCTCCAAACCTTTTTTTTTTTTTTTTTGGCTCGAAAAAAACATAAAGCTTGGTGGCGAGAGAAATCTTAACCTGTACAAATACAAAACGAAATCCAAAAATTAATAAATTATACAAAATTGCAAAATGTTTTTTTATTTTTTTTACCGAGGCAGAATTACAAATAGAATCCCAGTCCGTTGTCAACGACGGTGGACGATACCGGTTGCGGCTTGGAAGTCCCGTCGTCTCTCCCGACGTTTCATTGACGCACAGTCATCCTTCAGCTCCAGCTGGACCGCGCAATCGTAGTTTTCCATATCTGCAACCAGCCAGGGGTAGGAGCAACCCCCTGATCAGCATCCAGACAACTGAGACCACTCGACGGCGCAATCATGGTTTCCTGATCAGGCTGATAACTATGGTATGAACGGCGCACAGGTCCTGCCCTTCGACCAGACACACATCTCCCCCCTATCCCTTGCCGTGGTCGTTGTGGATTACAGACCAAGATCGGTCAGGACGAGGACGAGGACATGGCGAAGGCTTCGTATTGCCTCCCCCTGAAGCTGAAAAAGCTGAAATTGAGAGAAGATGAAACAGAAAGAAGGGCGACGCGTTCGTGCATCGCGCTTCGAACAGCGCACGGCCAACCGGGTTTGATCGCATAGGCGCGCAACCGCGGGCGTGGGGGCGTCTTTGCCAGAGCTTGATGTGGGGGGTGGCAGGAACGGAGGAGGTCACGGTCCAAGGGCACAGGGGGGATACAGAGAGAAGATTAGCATTAGCATGGGCCCTGTGCAAAGATGCCACGCATAAATCGACAAATGGTCCCCCCCCCCCCCCCGTAAACAAAAAAAAAAAAAAAAAAAAAAAAAAAGGAATCCCTGCCTGTCCACCACAGGGATTTCAAATTCCAATCCCCACCCCACCACACATCAAACCACCCCTCTCCTTCTGGGAAATAAAATAAAAATAAAAAATAAAAACACCAACCCACTCACCTTGACGCTTTCCACATGTACCGTTCCAATCTATAAGGGGGGGCTTCCACGTGGCAGTCTGCGAGCGGCTTGGTCTACCGGGGCCTAATAAGAGCAGGGCCATAAAACAATACCGCGGTTGCTGACGTCTACCGTAGGATCATGAATTGCAGTCTCAAAAATTGCACGCATCCGTTGTCAATATCGGCCTCACCACATCGCTCGCGAAACGAAAAACAGTGCGTCTTCTGGGAGAACTTTGCGAAAAACATCCGTTACTATCGATAGTAACCAATGAACATGGTCACCTTCTGCAGTAAGATGCACTGTTTTTCGTTGTAGTAACCGATGAATACAGATACAGATCAATCGAGATGCTTGAGTCTGTATTTCAACAGTTCAGGGGTGTACCAACTGAGCTAGGCACGTTGGTTCACCAGTGGCCTGGCGATGCCCAATGCATCTCTGTATCCTTCCAATGTAATGGATATATATTATATACCCAAAAGTGAAAAAAACAAATAAAAGAAGGTTTTTCCAACCCGGCATAATGTCAGGTTGTTCAGGTCCAGAAAAACCTAAGGTTCGGCAAATATGTGTGGGGACCACAATGGCGCTGTCTTGATTCACAAGCTGTGCAGTGTAGAAGTAGAAGTAGAAGTAGAAGCAGAAGTAGCGATATCACACCTTCCAAGTATCCTCAAGACTTGAAGAAGCAAAGACAAAGCGCACTTGTTCTGTTACAAAAATGGAAAAGGTAACACACAGGAACAGTGCACTCAGGTGGTACTACCAAGTTTGTTTGTTTTTTTTCCCTGCCTACTACAAGATTCTCCTGTGCGATGGTTTTTGTTTTTTCGCTTTATTAGGAACACTGTAGAGAGAGGTGGTTCTCCTTCATGCTAGAACAGGTTTAGGCTGAGAGAGCAATAGGCCAGTACCTTTTCATGGCAGGAAGGGTCTTTTCCTTTTGTTGTTTTCCTGGACTTTGACTTTTCCTTTTCGGGTGACTTCTTTCCGGGAAATTGTGAGTGCCCAGCCTCAATTACTTTTTTCATGAGCAATCAAGTGTATCTTTTCTCGGAAAAAAAAAAAAAAAAAGTAACACAGCAACAGTGCACTCAGGTGGTATTACCAAGTTTTTTTTTTTTTTTTGTTCCTGCCTACTACAAGATTCTCCTGTGCGAGGCATTGCTAGAGGAAAAAGGGCGGCGAACGGAAGGTGTGCGGGGGGTGGCCGCATGGTGTGTGGGAGAGTGCTGCTGACCTTAGACACTGCCGTGATACAACGGGTTTCTGGGGGAAGTAAAGATAGGAGGAGGCTCAGTTACTCGCAGAATGCTAGGTCTTTGTGTTAGCCACCCCCTGGGCCCACAACCGACGGCCCCACTCTATTCCCTGACCACCGCCAGCACCGATTAGGGCGAGGTGCAACATGCATCCTCTTGATTGTGAGAGAGACCTGCGCTTGTACTGGGATCACTCTTATCTGTCCATGCACGGTTAAAAAAAAAAAAAAAAAAAAAAAAAAAAAAAAAAAAAAAAAAAAAAAAAAAAAAAAAAAAAAAAAGGCTTTAAAGTTAAAATTAATGGTGGGTAGGTTGTGAAAGGTGAAATTGTGAGAAGAACATAGCTTGGTAGCCTTGGTTTAAAAAAGGAGGAAACTTTTCCCAAAAAAATAAAAAATTAAAAAACATAGCTTCAGCCAACCGATGTACAGATTCTTGTATTTGTATGTGTCTTAATCTCATATTTAAAATTTGTATGCGTCACAACCTCCGCTTTACTACGGTACGAGCTCAGCAACACAGGGTGAAGTCTGCAGAGCCCCTACTGCAGCTGCAGCTCTCCCCTCTTATCGACGGCAGCTGTCTCGCACTTTGATTAGGTCATCAGCCCAATCGTCAGTTTGCAGGCACCTGGGTTCAAACCCCGGGTCCGATCGCTAGGAGTTCGTTGTGTAACCAGTTGGGCAGGGTGCCCTGCCCGGTCTCTGTCCAACAACTGTCTCTCTCCTCTCTCTCTTTCTCTTTTATCCAACTCTAATGTGATTGTCTGATCCTTTATTATTATTATTATTATTTTACTACCAAGGTTCTGTGATTTCAGATAAAACCCTGGCTCCCCCCCCCCCCCCCCCCCCCAAGAAAAAAACCC